TCTTCTAAGCCTCTGGAAGATTAGTACTTCGTTTAATTAATTCATAGGTCCTGTAATTTTCCTCAATAGAGTTATACTCCGGAGCCCCTATTACTTTACACTGAAATTTGGTGATAACCTTTTATCTTAATACCACCGAATTCATTTATTTGACAGCCGTCTCGCTAGTCACATAAATACATATATATTACTCTCTATATTTTATAAACTTTATTTAATAATCTAATAAAAAAAATTAATTTTCTATTATTTCTATTATATATTATTCTAAAGTCTTCTATATACCTTAAGTGATATTGTACGTTTCAAAGGTTCAAAGGTTTTAAATTAATATTTATAAGTTTTCTTTTTCACGTTTACGGTAGTTTTTTATTATTCTTATAAATGTTGTGATATTTATCATATCACCACCAGAGATGCGGGGAGTTTGATGTGTTATGTAGTTATAACGTAATCAGTCTGCCACTATTGGGTATCATTCTACATAATCATATGTATTTCTAACTATATAGTACTACGCATGTTAATTTGTGTACATAGACTGAAAAATTCTTTTACCTACTTCATCATTAACATATCTTATTTTCTTTCAAATATACCAAAAACCGCATCTGACTATGTTCAACCGGGCACAAAATTATATTTAACAATCAATTGCTAATTGCACCTACCGGTAATTAGCTTTATTTACATATTTTATTTTATTAATAATAATATATTTTCCTGCTCTAACTAGAAAGGTTAGCAGTTAATATATTTTTGAATGGGCTAAGGGGTCCATTTCTGATTTTCAGAAATTGATATACTGAATCAACTCTTTACTTTCAACCATAGACATTTACTAGTATGTCAAGAGTTTTTGGTAACGATGGGATATATATACATATATTCTTCACAAGTACAGTCAAACTTCCATAACTCGAAGTACCATTTTGGAAGAGAAGGGTCGACTTATGTAGACTTTAAGTTAAAAAACTTTTTTGTAATTGTATGTAATTTCCTCTGTAACCTCTTGCACTCTATTTAGTTTGAGTTATAGAAAATTCGAGTTCTAGAAGTTTGAGTTATGTAAGTTTGACTGTATTTTACAATAAATCAATTTAACAATACACGCCAATTGCTGATATTGACGAACGGTTCAAGAGCATAAATTCAGCTTTTTTTTTAACCCTTATTTCTTTTTCTCTCAAACTTATTAAAATAGAATATTAGTTATTGTTGAAAAAAGTTATGAAATGTTAGTAAATACTTAAAAATATGTATTAAGTGAAAGTACACAATATTTATTTTTTATAGATCTATTAAAATACGCTAAAACCCATATATGATTGAGACATCACTAAATCTCAGTCATTTACTAACCCATATTCAAATTATTGGAAATAATTGATTTGTTGCTCTATTTCAAATTTATTAATAGATACATAAAGGCAAATTGATAAAACTGTTGACGTTTAAACAAATTCACAGAAACGAAATAATTGAATTTTTGTACAATCACATACATACATAGGAGGAGAGGTATGAAATGAAAGCCTCAACTCTACTATACGTTCTATTTGGTAGAAATTAAACAAATTTGAAATAAATACAAGTATTATCGAATATAATTGTAATTTATCAGTGCGTACAATTACATAGTAAAATTATAATAAGAACTATATACGCCCAATGAAAAGTTTTATAAAATGTAGGGTATAATATTTGTAATTTATTTTACTTCTTATTGCAGTCAAATGTATATCAGAAATTGATAAAATAAAGCTTTACGGCATGTAAATATATATTTAGATTATTTAGCAATACTCTGAAGACATATTCAGTGAAGCATAGAAGTAGTCCCTTTTAAAGTTCTTATGTGCACTGAAGAATAGAAACAGCTGATTACAAATGAACTCTGAACAAATGACTTTAGAGTGGTTAAAGTAATCTTAAATACTGAGATATTATTTGAAGTGTTTTTTCATGAAAAATAAAAAAAAAAACAATGGCAGTAGCAAAAAATGCTTATATTAATTACAAAAGATTGTTGCAAAATGTCTCAAATGTTTTAATTTGGAACATATCTTTTATTGTATAATAGTTAATTTTTATCAAAGCTAGCAAAATAAGAGAACATTGCATAATACTGTAGATACCATAGGCAAGAAATATGGCTCCCTTAGGCTCTATTGAATGGGACGATTGCATTGCAAATGAAAAAAAAACAATTTTTAGAGTACACCAGCTAACTTAACCGACTTTTGTTAAAGTTGCTCCAATTTTTTTTTTTTTGCAGTAGGTGGAAGCATCGAAAGCCACCGTGTGAGACATGAACCTAAAGTTGCTCCTATTTTGTGTCGGGATACTATTACGCTATTTAAATAAAAGAGACAGAAACGAAGAAGCGGGAATCTTCAAGCCGTTTGGGGACTATCGAGCAGTAATAGAATAGATAAGTGATTTTTTTTCTCTTTCTCCTAACACCTATAGTTGTATCTATAGTTGTTTGAACTTGACAGCAATTTCAGTGTTTTATTAAATTAGTTTAGTAAATGATATTGAGAATTCGGAACAGTCTTATCTATGTTAATTAACAGTCTACAGTTAATTATCTATGTTGAAGCCAAAAAAAAAGTAAACTGTGGATATTTATCAACAGGTCTTTTCATATACTGCAATTTTAAATCACAGTACGGATTGCAATCAAACCACATGAGAATTCTAAAATACAAGCTATATGATTAATATACGCTCGTGATCTATATAAGCGTTAGATCATGAGTATATCAAAAAAAATTAATAAAATTAAATTCTAATAAACTACTAAGTAAAATATAAATAACTTTAGAATTTCTACTTTTATCGTTTCCGTCACAAAATTTTTTTTGAAAAATATAGTTCCAAAAATGAGGATAACTGCTCACTTACAAAATCCTTCTAAGGACTTGATGGGTACATTCCATTATTTTCCTAAAATCCTGTACTCAACAACCACTTGTGAAATTTTTTCAACGCATTTTCTTTTGTTTATTGTGAAATATTCAAATGTGTTTCATTTTCTATATATAAGCGTTAATCAATTTTAAAGAGTATTTAAAATGTGAGAATATAATAAACAAATATTTAACTTAGAAAATTTTGAAGAAAGAAAAACAAAAAGCTCTGCTAAGTGCGGAAAGAGGGGCCGTGTGAACACTGGACATGTTGACGCCTTTTCAATGCGCAAACTGAAATAATGAATAATTGAAAATTGCCACGTAGTAATATTTAGTTCATAATTATAATTTCAAATATATTTAAGACCTAATATAAATCAATAATTTGACTTTTAATTGTAACAATAATAACAATAAATACTTTGTGTATGTATGTGCAACAAGATATTTATCTAGCATAAACTTCCCATGCGGCTAGATTGTTTTGTGAGTCATGTTTTATTTTTTTTTAGTACACAAAGCAAAAGTAAACATATTATTTATACAATAATAATATTATAATAAAAATGATATTTTCCACATATAACGGAATACGTCTAGACAGTTGATAATTTAGCCATTTTATCCAATAAGAATTTAAGCTCATGACATTGTATACGTGCTTAACACGAACTTATATTTTAATTATATTGTATATGGTTAACACTTACGATGTTCTTCCATTTATAGAATACTATTTTAAAAACTGTTCAAATAATCAACACGTTAAAACACACTCAATAATTTAATTAAATTTACTTCCACTAAATAAGCAGCAATTGCAGCGACTTTTTGTTGCTATTCACGATATTTTATTGAAATGCCGTTTCGACATTCATTCTTCCTCTATTACAAATCACACTTTTTACGAACACAGCACATTCTTGTTCGAAAATTCGAAATTAAATTTAATTAGGTAAAACTAAATGATTTCAATTAATATAAATTATATATTGTTTTTTTTTAATAATAATTTATTAATAAATTTTTACTATACAATATAATAATATATATAATATATATATATATAATATAATAAAACTTTAAGCATAAGGTTATGTTGATTAATAAATTTCACGAAGAATTGTTTTATTTAATATTTTACAAAATAATTATAATCGTAGTAAAACTGAAATAAAACACAAGTAAAGTACAAACTGAGAGCGTAACACAAATAAAGTGCCAAAGTATGCTCTTTACATAGATTTTCATGGAACAGCTTTGTGTAAAGTCTGATGAGAACACCAGTGCCGCGCAAATAAACAATATTAAAAATTTTAATTCAAGCCAAAACAGCTGATTCACACATCAACACAAATTTTACTTGAAATTAAATGTACGAGTAAAGTCTGTGTAGCATTTTCAAATTTCGACAGGGATGTTATGCTCTCTGTGATGCTCTCATCTACTCGAAACTTTTCTAGTGAAACGCACTTGTGTATACGCAGTGTTACTTATGATATGACTAAAGTATTTCAAAAAGTATAGAGTAATTTAAAAAACTCGTTTTCCATTCTTATTACCATTGAAATAAATAATAATATTACACAAACAAAAGATAAATAAAAAGAACATTATTGTAAATAAAATTTTTATAATATAACAATACAAAATGTTAACTGAAATTTAATTTAACACACTGAATAATAAATAAACAATAAAATAATATAACAGCAAAAAAAATCAAACAACAATTTCTTAAAAATATATAAAAAATAAAAAATACTTTTCGCAGTTGAATTTTTTTTATTATTTTATTTAATATTTTTGCGTTGTATGGTCAATCAAATTTCAATAAATTAACTAAAAATTTTTATCTTTGTGTTTTCTTTACTATTCGAATCCGTCTAACTTTTAAATAGTATTTTTTTCATCATATAGACGCGTAAGTCTCGGAAAGAAAAAATTAAACATTAAAGATATTATATTGTTTTTCAACTGAAATAATAATACTATACTGTATTAAAAAATTATTTTATCATAAAAAGTAAGCAATATCTAATTATTCTTAAAATACAAATTTTCGAGATAGAATTTATCTTCAAACATATTTCACTATATTAACAAGAGATGGCGGTCGGAGCTGTAAAAGGTGAATTGTTGCACGTGCCATTGAACTGTCAGAGTTTGTTTTTATTTTCGGCAATTGCATGAATCCAATAAATATGGAGCATAATCAGGATGCCTCTGAAGAACGGGTTGATGCAGTTCCTAAAGCTAAGAAACGTAGAAATCCATTTAATTTACAACAAATAAAAGAGGAGAAGGAGAGAAGGCAGAAAAAGAAAGCGCGTCTCATTGTGCGTAATATAAGCTACAAAGTAACAGAAGAACTGCTGAAGAAACACTTCGAACAATGGGGTACCATAGAAGACCTTAATATATTGAAACGTGCCGATGGCAGACTAGTGGGTTGCGCTTTTGTACAGTATGAGACTATAAATCAAGCTACAAAAGCAATACTGAAAGGCAATAATCAAAAGTTTTTGGGGCGACCAGTTTATATTGATTGGGCAGTAGGTAATGTATTGAACTATCTTGGCTATTGGCTATTCCAATGGTAATTAAAATTTGAAATAATTAAAACTTTAGGTAAAGATGAGTTTATATCACGCAAAGTACCTAAAGAGGAGCCGGCTGATAAGAAGCCAAAATTAGAACTTGAAGAGGAAGAACGCGTGAAGGATGAGGTAAAATTGATATACTTATAACCTAATGGAATACTAAGTAATGAATAATTTGTTTAGGTGGAAAATAAAACAATCGAAGATGAGGAAATAAAAAGTGATGTTGACAGCAGTGATGACGAAGAAGAGAATGATGCTGCAGATATTAGCAGTGACAATGATGATAATGATAGTGTGGATGACAGTGAGGTAGAAAAAAGTGATGAAGATATTGAAAGTAACGATGAAAATGAAAATAAAGATGAAAAGGATTTAAAAACCAAAAAAAATATTAATAAAGTTAAAAAAGAAAAAACTATATCAAATGATGTTCAAGAAGGTTGTACGGTGTTTTTAAAAGAAGTTCCATTCGATGCAGAAGATCAAGACCTGCGAAAGGTCTGCCGTAAATTTGGCCCTTTGTATTATGCAATTATTAACAGAGATAAAATATCTGGTCACTCAAAGGGCACTGCTTTTGTGAAATTCAAAACCAAAGAATCTGCGGATTTATGTCTACAAGCTGGATCGGAATTTGTCTTAATGGATCAAGTATTGGATCCACATCCAGCGTTAAGTAGAGATGAAATGAGAAATCAAGCAGCAGAGAAATCTAAAAAAGAAGACAGCAAAGATTCACGTAATTTATACTTAGCCAGAGAGGGTCTCATTATGAGTGGCTCAAAGGCAGCAGAAGGTGTTTCTGCTTCAGATATGACTAAAAGACACAAACTTGAACAGGTGAAAACACAAGTCTTGAAAAATCTTAATAGGCAAGTATTTCATAAGAATTAAGTAGCTTATTTTAATAATATAAAAAAAATGCTTGTTTAGGTTTGTCTCAAGAAACAGATTATCCCTGCATAACTTACCACTTAGCTATGACAACGATAAATTAAAACAGTTGATACTTAGCTACACTGGGCTTAAGCCACACGAGTGTCGTGTAATGCGTGAGAGCAAAATAACGCCTGAACATCCAAAAGGAAAATCAAAAGGGTTCGGTTTTATGTCATTTAACACTCACAAAGATGCTTTGACGGCTTTACGAAAATTGAATAACAATCCAAAAGTTTTTGGACCATTGCATGTAAGTAAATAAATAAATAACCCTCAAAACCAAGAGAAAGTAATTAGAATAGAAACACTAGGACTATATATAGATATATAGTGGCTTTCCTTTATATTACATTTATGAAAGAATTCATCCAAAAACACAAAATTTATTTAAATCATTCCAAACGATTTGTACCATCCTCTGGAAACATTGGTATAACAAAATTCAAGATATAAATTGATTTATCCTAAAATTTATGTTCTTGTTGTTGTTGAGATCCGCGAAGATATGCAGCTGTAGTTCCTGCTAGTATAATTGAACTTCACTTGGTTGTCAAATTGGATAAATTGCAATAGCATGTAGATTCGGCCGCTCTTGTGACTTACTCTGCTCATCTACATCGCATGTCTACTTAAAACAAAAATTAAATTGGAGAAATATACAAACTAATGAAGACATAAGTGTTCGTTTTTATTGGAATCAATAAAGAGTATTTTTTGGGAATAATAAAAGTTTTAAAAAAAGGAATTGTATATAAACGAGATAGTTTGAAATAATCAGAAATAGAATTAGGGCTATGAACCGCATCTGCCCCTTGAAGAGGTCCACTTTTTCCGCCTTGTTCCTGGTTGATTTAAATTTAAACCAGCTTATCCCCATCTTATCTAACTCCTAAGTAATCCCATTGCTTTTCAAATTACTATTACCGATTCACATTCTAACTCATTTATACATCTTTCTAATTCTTTTCATGATCTTTTCATAATTTTTTTAAGATCTCTGCGGGCTACTAATAAAACAACAACAGAGCAGTGAAACGCGTAAATCTTTATAATAAAAGATTTTTATACTATTAGCTTAATAATCTGAATCATTGGTTCGTTTCTATAACCATTCAATATCATCGATATACCATCGATACATTATTTATTTTATTTGTACTAAAAAAATCATAAATTCCCGTCCAAATGTCTATCATTAGATCACAATTATGTTTTATCAAATGTATATTTTTATATAGATATGTTTACAAAAATTAATATGTGGCGTTATAATTTGAAATTATCTATTTTTTAGCGCCCTATTGTCGCCTTTAGTATAGAAGATCGAGCAGTACATAAAATAAAGGATATGCGAAATAAGAAAGCAAAGCTGAACAATCCCACATTTAAGAAGAAAATTGAAAATCGTAAGGAGGCGCGTGCCCAAAAGGCAAATGGAAAGCTTAAATCATTGCCAAAGGGCCCACAAAGTGACAACAAAGCAAAATTAAAGAAACACATTGAAAAACTGGAAAAAATGCGTGCCAATAAGTCCAAACCCAATAAAGTAGCAAATGAAGATCATGAAGACTTCGTCGGTACAGCCGCCAAGCAAGGAACTTCAATACAGATGCGTTCCAATAAAAAAATCAAGGAGCAAGCTGAAGAGCATAAAAAACGCGTTAAAGCAAATAAAAGAAAGTTGAAACAGCAGAAAATAAAACAAATACATCTAGCAGAACGCAAAGCCATAGATCGACCTAAACAAAAACGTAAGAATGAAAAGGACGATTTATCTCATTTGGTCAACAAGTACAAGTCAATGATTAATAACAAAGCAAATCAAGGCACCACCAATGGCATCATTAAAACGAAGAAACCTAAGCGCACCAAATGGTACACTGAATGATTAAATGGCTTAAGTGGTTTAAGTGTACAATAAGTAAATAATTATTAATATTTAATGTGTGAAAATAGAAGAAATAATATTTCTAAAAATAAAAACTGTCCTTTTGCTAAAAAATTTAATGTTATGTTATTTTTTACAATTTCTCAAATTCATATTCATTCCAGAGGCAATTTCAAGAGCAAAATTTTCCCTAAATGTGATTCTACCGCGAGAAATGGTTAAGTACTCTAGCCTACCTGTTTACATAAAGTCGCGATTATGATTTTTTACATTTGAATAACAGTTTGAATTTTCAGAAAAATGCAATGTCTTATCGCGCAGGTAGTAAATCTTGCATTTGAAATGTCCATTTATAAATTTTTACATCTGTGTTTCATTGGAAAATCTGTTTCTGTATGTAAATTGTAAAGTGTGTTTAGAAATTTTATTTGAGCATAGTTTACACAGTAGTTCTCAAGTTTCCGTCGTGTGCAGAAGTAAAATACCTTAGAAAATGGCACCCAGAGATAAAGTCGAGTATGTTTTATTGCGTTTAACGTTTTTGCCTTTCATGTAAGTTACTATGCTTGATTTTTAAAAATGAATTTCTAATCAAAAATTGTGTTAATCTGCAGTGATCCATTATATCCACAAATGTCAATTAACCGCAGGAAGCATTCTCCAAGTACATCAATAACCCAAGTGCGAGATTGGGTAAGTGTGCATTAATCACTTTTTACAATTCCACATTTATTTATATTTTGACAGTTCGATCGTGTAATGTCTTATGAAAAATCGAAGCTACCAGTCAACACACACCTACGATATACTGAGTGGCGTATTCTAACCGGCAATCCGAATGACTTTATTGTCGAAGGAGGCTGTAAATTCGACAAAGCCATAATACTTGTGGGTGAAGAAAATGCATACTGGGTTTTCTATCACAATTTTCCGACTCATCGGCGCTATGAGGGTAATGGCAAAATAAATGTTAATTTTTGCAGTTGCTGTATGCCAAAGCATTATGAAAAAATTATTGATTATGTGAAAAAAACAATTAGCAAAGCACGACGTCCAGCATAAAAATGGTAACATATCTTGTTGCTGCCTGCCATAGTATTTTATAAAAATTATGGATTCTGTGAGAAGTACAATCAGCAAATCATGATATCTGACATAAAGTGATTTATGTGTATATTAATCAAATACCAATGTATCCTTCTTAGATTTAAGATTTATTTACGTTTTTCACTTGCAATAATTACGACAGCCAGCATAAAGAAATTGTGAACATTGTGAACATTAATAAGAAGAAAATGTATCCTTAGATTTAAAATTTATTAACGCTCTTCACTTGCAGGTATTAATTGTATTGGCAATTTAATTCCAAATAAAAGCAATTTCGATATTAAATTTTTCTATTTCTATTATGGTTTTATTCCAACCAATGGAAACGTGATCCATATTTTGCTGCTGTTCTAGGATAATCATCTGGTAAACCAGGAGTGGCATCAGCATATACTTTCTTTTCTGGTTTAGGAGGTGCCGGTCGTTCTGTTGCATGTATCTGAAAAGAATTTTTAAAGTTATAAAGCCTAGATAATAATAATATAAATATAAGTTACCTTTGCACGAGCAAAGTAGCCATATTCAGGGCGTTCAATACCCAAATTGTCTAACATGCACTTGTCAAATACACCCTGAGTCTTGCGGCAGCTATTATCAAATTAAAAACTACTGAAATCATTCATTCATATATATGATTTTACTTACTGCTCATATCCCATTATACCGCTGCTCTTGTCCAAACAGTTCGCGTACTGTGCAAACTCTTCGGAGCACGATTTTTTCACTTTACGAAAGAAATCCAATGCACAACTCGTTACTGCTTTTCCCTCATTTAAGCAGGCGCGTGGATCATCCAACTCGTTCCTGCATAGCATAAATTCCTTAAACAAAAAATCTCTTTATTTATTTGGTGCATGAAAACAATAGCAAATTGAGGTTATGAAAAGGTTACTTAAAATTATATAATGTAGTTATAAACAACTAAGCTTTAGCATTGGTTAAGTATAAAAACTTTAAAGAATCTAAATAATCAGCGTTCCAAACATAAAAATCATTATTTACAAGATTATGGTGTTCACATTCTTTTCCCAAATGAAATGCGCCAGCTTTCAAAGCAGGAGTTGATAAATTAAGTTCCTGCACTGTCAACTCTTCGTCAGGTGGAATTACTACATCATTGGTTATAACCATAGCGGCTTAGCTGATATTTTTGTTGGTTATTAGAACCAGAAAATTAAATCCTTTAATTTTTAAAGAATTATAGAAATCTTTGCTGAATTTGTTGTTTAGATGAGTTCAGCTGTTGAACTGTCAAACACAACTACTGTCAATGTTTAACGTAAATAAAGGTGAGAATGCAATGCTTAAGCACGTATTTTTTGTCTTGTCAAGATCGTAGTTATATACACACACGTGATTGCAATAAGTTTTAATCCGTACGTACTTCGAAGAAACTTTTCAGTTAACTTTCATTATTTTCTGTTCCCTTATTGAAAAAAAAATAGTAAAGTAAGAGAAATTGTGACAGTTAATTTTTACTTCATATTGTTGCTGTTGTTATAGTTTAAGTTAGTGCTATTGCGGACTTTTACTCTTTTATGGTTGGGGAGCTTATCCCTGCCCCACACTAAGCTTGAACTACACTAGAAATATTATCATTTATTTATCTTTTAACTGATGACGGACCGTAGATCAGCAACTCTTCCTGTGCGTTCTGAGGTGAACTTAAGGTTTGTTAGGGTGTGGTTGGCAACGTATCAACTTTTGTGAATAATTTTAGGGCTCTGTCCTTTATATATTTTTTTAACTGAGTCGATCCTTAGATCTCTATGTATATTTGTTGTCCTAATATACCAAGGAATCTTAATTAGTCTTCTTAAAGCCAGATTCTGTGCTGTCTGTAATTGCTTTATGGCAGTATTTGACGCTTTGCTGTATGCTCCAAATCCGTACAGTAATGCTGGCCTTATTATTTGAGCATATAATAACTTATTATTATATAAAATTTACGTTTTTTACTTGATAAAATTTTTAAAGTCGAAAAATATTTGTTCATTGTTAAGGCTGAAACGGTTAGACCGTAAGCAATCAGCTGATCCGTTTTATCTTTTGCGAAACAATGGATTCGATTTTCCGTGCTGTAGAGCAAACAGGAGAAAACGCAACTTGGTGTCTAGACTACATAGACTTTTTGCGAATTACACTGCAATAAAAAAAACTAGTTGTTGAAGGTGTGAGAGTTTAGCAAGTGTAGACGCAGTATTAGTTTTCAAGTGAATTTTTTATGGATTAGGAAGAGGCAAATATATAGTTGTCATTAATAAGTTTAAGGTGGATAAAAAATACATAAGAAACTACTGCGATTAAATAAAACAATCACTTAATATAAAAACATATGATATACTATACTTCCACTTCTGTCTGTGCCAACTGCTTTTCTCTTAAAGAAAATATATATTTTTTCTCATTTGAAATATAATTTTAAATTAATTAATAATAATTATGGTTTAAAAAAAGGAGTCTATTGATTTTTTTATTATAAAATATAATTTATTTCTATAATTTTGTAAGATTCGAAATATTTTGTGAACTAAAAATGTATTTATAATTTTGCAAATAAATAGTATATATTGCTAATGATTTTGTATCATAATATTAGGCCCAAGACTTTATAAAAACACATTTATAACTGCTATCTAATCCTGTTGCCAACAGTAGTTCCGTGCCGAACAAGTCCAGAACATTTATGGTCAAGAATTCCAGTTGTGTACTTTAGAAAAGCCGAAATACTATTTCCTGTAACTTTTTGCTAATAGAAAAAAAGAAAAAATTTATATTATAATTAAAACATTATGACAAATATTTTTTTTAATCAATATAAAAATATACATTGAGAAAATAATCAATTTTTCAATAATTGATTAAACAATTTTTTATATCTAATACCCACCAAACACTGATTTCCATTTAATGCTCTCAAAATTTTTTAATTAGTAAGCTGAGGTAGTACCTCCATGCACTAAAAAATTCCCCTTAAAAGAAGAACGTGTATGACAAAATAAATAAATAAATAATTTTAATAAAAATAGAACGTTTTCTTACCTCTTCAAAATATTTCTTGTTGCCAACTAAAAGAGCTCTACTTGCATTCATTCCACACCTCATTTATTTTCCCTCCCATTAAGGGAAGCATTTGTCTGGTTGATTATAACGTGTAATGGGAACATCGGTACTCGCGTAAGTATTACAATACGGTCCAGAAGGTAAGCAGCTAGGAGGTAAACAGCATGGTGGACCACAACATGGTGGACCACAACATGGTGGACCACAACAAGGTGGGCCACAACATGGTGGACCACAACAAGGCATACAGCACGGTGGACTACAACTAGGCTTCTTCTCACATGGCGGTCCACAGTCTGGTGGTGGCTTACAGCATGGCTTTGGTCTAGGTGGATAGCAGCTTGATGGACAAAAACATGGCAGAATGCAGCATGGCAGACTGCAACATGCTGGTGGGCAGCATGGTGATGGGCAGCATGGTGGCTTGGGCTTTAGCGGACAACAGCTTGGTGGATCAGGTGGACACTTTGGTTTCTTAGGTGGACAACTTGGCGGACACGGTGATTTGCAGCATAAGACCTGACAATAAATTCCGGTTCCACCGCAGCGGCAACAAGGTAGCTTCTTATTTCCCATTGGTAGTAATGTCTTCTTCGATTATAAATGGAAAACTTCTTTCTCTACCGCTGGCGTGCACAAACAACAACGTTCTGTAGAGTTGTTGTTTGAAGTAAGTGTCCACGTTCGCTGTGGTCCCACTTAGCACATTTATACTATTTACGCAAAATAAATAAAATTTTGATTCCTACCAAAATTCGAAACTCTCTGTTGTGAAAAAATTTTGTAACTAAAAAATATTAATTTTATTTTCGTTATTACAAATTGAAAGCAAAATTGGAATTTCAATGAATACTTGATTTTGAATACTATTGATTGTATGTATGTATGTTGTTCCTGGGGGTACTGCAGGGTCCCACCCATCTCATTAACTAATTTATGTATTGCCTATAAGCTTCATGATTATTCAGTGATTGATCTAAGATTACTCTAAGATTAGATAGTGCTAAGTAGGATAGCCTGTCAATTTTCGCATATAACTTCAGGGCTCTGTCCCTTATGTATTTTTTGATCGGGTCTATTCTAAGGTTTCTTAGCATGTCGTTTGTTCGGATGTACCAAGGCACTTTGAAGAGCCTTCGGAGAGGCTGATTGTATGTATATATATATTTTTTAAATTCAAACTAATTATAAGTCTATTTTACACATTTGGTTATTAGTTTACATACAAACGTTTCAATTTTTTTATCATTCAATATTCATCTGACGTTTCACTTTTTAGCGCTTTAGCGGTCTCTATCTGTATTATGCTATCTTTATAAGGAACTATGATGTTCAAGATGTTCATTATTCACTTAAAGTAATTGGCAAGCTTAAACCTACCTCAAAGCGCTATATGTTATACAAAAACTTTACTCTTATATTCTAATAATTTCATATTAATAATAACAATAATGTTGGCGGATTTTGCTCTGTATTCTAGACAACATCCTCCGATAAAATTCCCAGTACTTTTAGCTCTGAGATCTCATTTCCTTCTCTACATAACTAACAAATTCCATTAGAGCACCTTCCCTCTTTTGTAAGATTGTACTGAAACATACAGGACCCTAATAAAGTTCCTGAAAGGAATTCGTTTTAGGTTAAAAGTCCACTATAAAATATTTCTCTTGTGATAACCTTATAGATTAAAGCAGCATAACTTTCTTTGTTTTCTCTATTCTTTCCAAATGGGTGAGAAGAAATTTCATTCTCCCAAGTCACAAAATGAATACGGGCCTACAGCAGCAAGAACCCGTTCCAATGCTTACAGGTACTTAAAATGAAAATTACAAGGAAATTATTGTATGATTATTTTATTATAAGGTACAAGATATAAAAGAGTTCAGATACAATTCACATTAAAGGATCATTAAATTAAACTATATATAACTATATTAAAATATAGTTCTTTCTCAGCATTGATGTTTCTACCATTGCTGTTAAGAATTTTAAAATCTCTACCAGTACGAGATATTATATTCTTATAAAATTTTTTGAATCCGATCCATCCATATTATAAAACTATTCAAAACTAATTCAACTGTTTTGGTTTAGTTTTATTAATGGACGTACGTTTGAACCTTTTTATTGCCATTGACAGATAACTTTCGGATTAAAATGTTCACTTTAATATTTAGTCCACGAAGACTATATCAAATTTTTTATTCATGCCTGGATAGTTAACGCATGGACTAGAATATATGGTTAGAATATACGGCCTATTAGGAATCCAATATAATTTATTATCCATGCCTGGAAGGTAACTATCTATATAAAGTTCATTTCTAAAATCACTTCGTATTAGATGGGTTGGATATTTTCCCGGGATCCTCAACAATAGCACTGTGAAAAAAATTATAAAAGGCCAAAAATCGCCAAATAGATATAATTGATATAGCCTTGAAAAAATGAATATCTGTAGCTACGGAATAAAATCAATGGACCGAGTAGTCTGAGGACAAATTACTTAAAAGTTCTGACATAGATCGTAGGTCGTAATATTACGAATGATGATGTTGTCAGATGATATTAAATATTTTTTCAATAAAAAATAAAGCATTATGTGTGTTATTAGAAAAGATTTTGTGAGTGAAATAAAACATTACATTATTTTATCACAGATCATTCTTTCATTCATAAAAATAATGAATCTGGATGATATTTTAAAATTAACTATAATCAATAAAAACTCATAGTATTCATTGTCTAATATTTTTAAATTTTATTTATTAAAATATATATTTGTATCTGTAAGATATATTTGTTAAGAATATAATTCTTCTGATTCTAAATCATTTATATTGAAATTTATTTTTTTATATTTATTTATTATGTATATATATTTTTTTTAAAAATTTTTTTGGATACATCTTCTTTTGCTTGTAGTTATTCACTTTTAAATAATAAAATTTTTGCTTAAAATGACCACAAAAAATTTAATAAAAATATTTTATTCGTTTAAACAAATATTTATTTTGTTTGAGATAAGTTTTATCATCAAAACAAACTTTTTCACCAGAGCTATTATGTAATAATTTTCACTACTACTTTCACAATTCCATGAAGAATCTTCTTAATGCTTTCCACTTTTAATATCAGCCATAGCTTTTTGCCACAATTTATCGAAATGTTTAGGAAGTTTACTCTTGATACGTTCGCTAAAGTCCCGAGCACCTTTTAAATTCACCTCAGCATAATATGGCAAAGCATTCATACGCTCCAACCAAGCAGTTAATTTCGGATACTTGACAGCATCCACTGCAGCAAACGCCATTTTGAATGTACTCACAGTTGACACAATACTAAAGTCGGCAATTGTCAACTTACCACCGGCCATGTATAAGTGCTCGCCGAGAAATAGTTCAAGCATGGCGTAAGCTTCATGTATTTGATCAATCTTTTCCTTCGGTATTTCGGTACTATTTTCACGGAAGATTGGTGTTACGATTTGTTTAAGACAAGTCGTGAATAAAACTCCATTTTCATAATGCAAGCGCTGATCAACTACAGCGCGTTGGTAGTAGTCTTTTGGATAAAGCGTATCATCCTTTCCATACTTACGTACCAAATAGGCACAAATGACGTGAGAGTCCCAAATAAAGTGTTCACCATCCTCTAGCAGTGGTACTGTATGTTGTGGATTTTTCTTCAAATATTCCGCTGTCAGTTGCTGGCCTGTTGTGGTATCAATCTCTACAAAATCATAATCCAAATTTAGTGCTTTGAGTGTGAGGAGAACAGCACGTACTGGTGGACTTAATTCCAAGCCATATAAAATTAATTTTGTTGATGACATATTTCAAAAATGTACGAAATAGTTATCTGGGATGCTAGGCACTATTCGAGGCGCGTTGTAGTTTTGAAAGAGTTCTTTAAAAATAACAATATTAATAAAATTTTAATGTTGTACTTCTATTTATACACTTGTAAATGATATATCTCTCTTAGACTATCACTTATATTTAATCGAGATAAGATAAAAATTAATGACGATAATGACAATTTTAAAATGCAGTCATAGATTTTTTAGGGTTCCATTTAGAGCTACAGATTTTCTACGAGAATGTTTAGAACTTTCGAAATGATAGGGTTATTGTTACAGTGGTTTTTGAAATCTATTCAGATCTACTGACTAACTGTGTTGTGGGCATATATTAAAATAGCTTATCCTGCGTTAAAAATTATAAATGCCTTCATTATATAAAACCTTCATTATATATATAATAAAAAAATAATTATGACGTTTTAAAAAATTTAATGTGAATCGAAAACCAACACATATCTTTTCCGTCGAACTTCGACACACACACATATAATATTAATTAAATATATACTCTGAGTTTACTCTGAGATTAGATAGTACTAAGTAGGGCAGCCAGTCGGTTTTCGCATATAGCTTCAGAGCTCTGTCCCTAATATATTTTTTGAACGGATCTATTCTAAGGTCTCTTATCAAGTCATTCGTGCGAATGTACCATGGTACTTTTATTATTATATATATTATATTATTAATATTATTATATATATATTATACTATATTATTATTAATATATAATGTTAATGTTAAATAATAAATATTATCTTGGGCTACGCTCTCTAGAAATTTCATAAGTAACTAATAATATTTTCGAAATATTTGTTTTTATTTATTAATAATTTAAATAATACTAATTATTAATAATATAATTTTATACATTTGTATATGATATTTATTTCCAATAAATTGAATATTAATATTATTAAATGTTGGATCTATTCCGGTACTTGGATCTGACCACTCTCGAGTAATTATATATGAAAAAAATTTATTTATTTCAATCAAATTAATAAATTTATTTATTTTGTTGTTTTTTATGTTGTCATTTTTTTAACTGTAAAGATAGTGTTTAATATTTTGGGAATTTTTTCAGTGTATTTGACATTAAGATTTTAATTTATACATTAATTTCTTATCTAGGAATAGTTAGAAGAAATACGTCATATTAAAAGTAAAACAGAATATACTGGTATTATCTAAAATTCAACAACTATTTATAAACAGATAAACATGTCACACATTGTACCGGTTGTTGTGACAGACGCAAAATTTTATTTTTTGCTAATATTATATTGTATATTAAAAATATCAACATATTTTCTATTTTTTAAAGAATATAAATCTAAAAGGAATTACTTTTATGTATTTTGAGTAAAAGTTTTTTCAAAAAACTATTACTTTGGTTCAATACTCTAGACCTTAATTGGTTTGATGGAAGAAGTATAAGAATTATAGAATAGAAGAAAAAGGATTCGTTTCATGATAATAGCAATACATGAATAAATAAGGTGGAGGATATTTTATTCTATATTTTATAGAATATCTTATAAAACATAATAATATCGTTTTTTTCATTCTTCAAATGAATGGTTTTAACATTTTAATAGTAAGGATTTTAGAAATAAAAAACTATTAAAGAATGAACCACAGCAAATGCAAGTACAGCCTGAAATCACTTACACGATGTTGGAACGTTGGTTGTGAACAAGAAAGAATTATAGATCCATTGTATACAAAATGGATCTACTATAATTTTTATTCTTAAGCTGAGAGCAAGATAAGACTTACCATAGGTACTCGTGCAATTGATCGCTGTGCTAGACCTATTATGATAATTCAAAGCATAACTCACTATATGTAAGAAACGATGAATCAGGACCATCGACAACAACTACTCTGCATTTAGTGGTATCAAAAAGGATAGGTTGAAAAAAAAATGACAATGTCTCTGGTGATTACTATCGAGTTCATTTTAAACATGTAGAGATATGAAAAAACCATCACACTGAAAAAATGCAACGAACAATATGGATAAACCCATTTTGGTAGAATGAAATTGGTATATTCTACCACAGATCCGAACATATTCGGTTAACTTTGATCCGCAAGATAACTTGTTCTGGTTGATGAGTAATGCAATAGACGAACAACGATTTAAAAAGTTTTTAATTTTGAAGAATTCGGAGAATGATTACTGAACTGGATTGTTTCCAAAGATGAAGGACTTTTTGAGTACAGAGGTTGTATATTATTTGCATAGTGAAATTAAGCAGTGGTTTATCCTAAGCAATACTTTGATTGAGTTTTTTTCTAACATTTTATAATATTAATAAACACAAATGTCTTAATTATTAAGTCGGATATAAAAATTATACTCATTACAAAGTCGAGAAACATTATAGGATTAGTGTTGTATTATGAGATTGTTCAGCTGCAAGATTAATCACTTCAAGACAGTTTTGATATAGAGCGCTGTTCAATCTGCAGTTGTTAAATGAACTTAATTAATTATTATTATCAGATATTGCTCTTGAAATCATTTTAATTACTTAATTTTTTATAAATTCTTCAATATTTATAAAAAAAAAGCGCGAAATAAACAAAACAAAAAAAAGATCAAAATTCCTTACTAATGTAACGATGTATATTATAGTGTAGTTTTACTAAATCTAGTTCCCTTAATCTCTCAGTTTACGCAGTTTACACTAATCTAATAGAAAAAGTAATTTATTTATTATTATTTTAGCATTAACTAAATAATATTTTTATAACCATGCAATTTAATTTTAAATAACTACATAACTCTATATAAAGCAACCAAAATTGTGTATTTAAGAAAAATTCAAACTTTCAATAAAAAAGAGACATAGTTTTCATTAATCTGGCAATACCACAGCACACTTGAAACTTAACTCAATAGACAGAAATCTTATGTTTCCCAATAGATCGATCCGAAATTACTTACCGAACCGAACTGAGTACTCGTATAAACCTTTTCTGAATATATCACCAGCAGTGTAAGCTTTAGAATAGCTTACACCCAAATCTTTCGTAAAGTTCAAAGTGCGAAAGCTTATAAAAAAAATAACAGACTGTAAGGATTTAAGTTTCTTGCTCGTTGAATCGTTCAATATTAGAAAGTAATTCGTAGAAGTGTCTTCTACCTGTGGAGAGAATACGAGTACTCTGTGAACACAATTTTTCTATAATTTAAATATTGCAAAAGTTTTTGGAACAAAGTCTCATTTGAAGTACTTATTTCTATTAAATTTATCTCTTTACAAAATAAGTTTTTGAATTTATTTTATGCATAAAACTCTTTACAATGTTAAATTTAATTTATCACCTCAATAAATCGTGCTCACATGTCGAATGTCTTTGGTATAAGTCTTTTGAAATCGTTATCAGCATTTACATATATAGCATGGATTGATAAGTTTTATTAAAAAAAAAAGCTTTCGAAAACAATCTTGATAGCAGTTGGGGTTAAACTGCACAATAAAATTTATGCTATTACCTGTGTTTCACAATATATTTGAACTTGTTGACAAGAAAATTTATTCAGTAAGTTGCCGTTTATTCTCGCAGTAGGTCGCTTTAAAGCATAACTAACAGAAAATGTCGAATATTGTTCTTTACGGTACTGATCTTAGTCCCCCAGTTAGGGCTTGCTTGTTGACGCTCAAAGCTTTGGATCTACCATTCGAATATAAAATTGTAGACCTCAAGAGTGGAGAGCACTATGGTGAAGAGTTCACTAAACGCAATCCACAACACACAGTGCCACTGCTTAACGATGGTGACGCTTGGATTTGGGATTCGCATGCAATTTGCGCCTACCTGGTGGATAAGTACGGCAAAGATGACTCACTTTATCCAAAGGATTTACTTAAACGTGCTGTAGTAAATCAACGTATGTTCTTCGAAGCTAGTATACTCTTTATGTCGTTGCGTAACGCTTCAAGACCGATGTGGCTTAATAAACATACAGTGCTGCTCAAGGAAAAATTAGATAATATCAAAGAAGGTTATGGAGTAATGGAAGACTTCTTGAAAGGTAATAACTATGCAACTGGCAACACCTTGACAATTGCCGATTTTTCTTGTGTGTCAACTTTATCAACACTACGTGCTTTTATTGATATTGACGCGAATAAATATCCGAATATGCATGCTTGGCTACAACGTGTGTCACAGTTGCCATACTATGAGGAAGCGAACGGTAAAGGTTCGAGTCAATATGAGGCCTTCATTAAGCACGCTATGAGTAATACACTTTGGTAAAAATACATTTAAAATTATATTTAAATTGTTTTTATTGTGGTACAAAATAAAGAAACAAAAGTACATATAATTTTTTTGATTTATAGATTTTTTATTTGAGATTATAAATATACAAATAAAACAAAAAATTTGATTAGAAAATTTAATCTAAAATTATATTAAACAACGTGTTTATCTTTATGAAAACATAAGTTTCTTCTCTTTGAAATCGAGATTTGATCATATTATCTATTATGTCTGTAACGGTTTATTTAGAGTGTTTGAAGCGAAAAATGTATATAAATATAGTGTATGAGTCATCATTCTTTAGAGAGAATTATGGTGCTGATTATATTTTAAGCTCTAGTATAAAATTAAACGTTGTGGGTTTAAAAGTATAATTAAGATTAAGTTAAGTAAGAATTCATTTCGAGTTCTTACTAAAGAGTCTTCTTAAGAAGACAGAGCCTGTTATTTGCTTTATTTAGATTGTTTATATATGAATATATAATTACGAAATATATTTATATTATATATTAAATGTAACATAATGACATATATACATATGTAACATATACAATTATACTAAATTTCAAAATATGTTATTAAAATATGATTGATATAGATGTAATTTTATAATATATATTCTTTAATGTATTATATTATTTATATCTGTTATATTAATTCTCATTGATCATTAATTATCTTTTAATGGTTTTAACACAAACGTAATCAGTTAACATATAAATGTTCCAGTAGATCGTATATAACAGTATTCTGAATGACGCATTCGTAAAAACTTAAAACTAATATAATTTTAAAAAGATGGTCACTCTAAAAAGCATTTGTTAAGCAATCAGTGGTAAAGCAGAAAGCTTTGGGATTTCAATTTGTTTATAAAATTATTTTACTAGCTTAGATAGTCTTATGGCTACACATCCGTACTCGTACTTATTAAATTTACGCTATAGTACAAATTTTTTTGTAATTTTTTCAATTTAATTAGCAAACCCTTAAGAATAAATAATAAGATTTTTGTTAAAACACTAATTTGGCACAAATTGAAACGCAACAATCAGCTGGAGTAGCCAACTTTGCTGCACCTAAAGAGTCAATATCCATTTTTCGCTACTGGAAGATTAAAAATACTTCACATCCTTTTCTTACCTGTTTCCGACCTGTTAGAGCACCTCATCCTTTAATATTAGGTCAAGTTTATAGACTTCTTAGGTTGATTCTCTTTTACTGGATTAGGCCAATCATGCCTTTGCAACGTTGTGCTTATATTGACTATTGACTACTTCGGTTTTTATACTTTTCTTGGCGATCTCTCTGGCGTTGTAATCTCTCATTGTAAATAGAGCACAATTTAAACTAAAATGGACTAAGTAATCAGTTTAATGCAACACAAATTGTATTTTTAATAATTTTTTTTTCTTCCCACATTGCCATTATGATACTATGCTAGTGAATTTATCTCAGGAAGGTTGCATATTAAATTCTGAGGTTAAAAGTCAAGTTATCATCATGTACGTGCTTATCCTGAATTGAATAATTTCCCGACCACATACTTGACATTGCGTGCGTACTAGAAAAATACAATCTTTCGGACGAAAGAAATGTTAGCGGGATAATGGTTCCTTTATCTAAATAGATGAAAAAGTATTTACTCTTTTTTATACAGTTGTAAGGATATTAAATTATAAATAGTTGAAGTTTGAAAAACTCAACTAGTGATCGGAGGCAGAACAATGCTCTGATACAGAACAATAGCAATCCAGATGTGGAAATCATTGTTCAACTTGAGGTATATCGTACGGAAGAGGACATAAAATATGTAGAGTAAAATAAAAATTAACTGATAAAAATATACTTACTATTTTATACATTTTTGACTTAATATTCTATCATTTCGAAAATTGAATTTAAACATATTTTTTTTTTCTGTTTAAATAATATTAAAAATTTTGCTGATTTGACTCGGTTAAGAAATACCTCCTCAACCAAACATAGAAACTAATTTCTACTAAATATACAACAAAATATTTAAAATAAAATATACAACACAGTTTTACCTGCAATAAGGTGATACCAAATGTTCAAAGGAGCTTTTGAAGTGTGGTTTAGTTAGGAATTCTCGAAACATAATACTCGCATTATAATGTCTATTAAATATAACTACACACACTAACATAGAGTTTAAATGTGTAAATAATATTAAATTTAATATGCTATTATATTTATTCTATTTAAAAAAAATATATAACAATAATAATAACTATAGTTAGATACTATGTTTCTATTTCCTAGTTTTTAAGCAATAATATGTATATAAATTCTATTAAACAGAATATATCTATATAACTTAAACAGCCATTCAATTTAATGTAGCGCATTTAGTTTCATTTACACACACACACACAAAATTTATCAGTTAAAAGCTCAGTGCAGATTAACTTTTAAAGGAAAAGTTTTTAGATCATTTTGTCAGTCATAAACAAAACTTGTACTCATTAGGTACAAATTTAAAGTAAATATTTAAAAAAAAAATTAAAAAAAACCAAAACTAAAATGTCAAAAATAGTGCTTTATGGTGTCGACATAAGTCCTCCAGTTAGAGCTTGTCTTTTAACATTGAAGGCGTTGGATGTTCCATTTGAATACAAAATCGTAAATCTTGCCAAGGGTGAACATCTTACCGAGGAGTTTCTGAAAAAGAATCCACAGCATGCTGTCCCAGTCTTGGAAGACAATGGTAGATATATATCGGACTCACATGCCATCTGTAGTTATTTAGTTGATACATATGGAAAGAATGATAAGCTTTATCCAAAGGATTTATATCAACGCGCAATTGTAAATCAACGTTTATATTTTGATGCAAGCGTTTTATATTTCGCTCTACGAAAGGCGGTACTTCCTATGTGGCTCGAAAACTCGAATTTTGTGCCCAAAGCAACAATAAAGAATATTTTGGAATGTTATGATTTAACGGAAACTTTCTTAAAAAATCAACAGTATATTACTGGTGATAGCTTAACCATTGCGGATTTCTCATGTTTGACAACAGTTTCTTCTTTAAATGGCATCGTTGAATTGGATAAGAAGAAGTATCCAAAAACATTGGATTGGATAGATCGTTTATCTAAATTACCTTATTATGAGGAGGGTAATGGAAAAGGACTCAGGGAATATGTTGCTATTTTAAAAGCCGGATTAACTGTATTTGAAGCGTAAAATATTAAAAAAATTGTAATTGATTTTGACAACAAGTAAGAGCTAATAAAGAAGGACTTAGTGAATATGCTCATATTTTAAAAGTCAGATTAGCCGAATTCAAAATGTAAGCTATATATATAATTATCTTTGAAAATAAATTTGATACAATAAAAAAAAAAATAATATATTTTTATTAAGAAATTTTTACTAACTACAAGACATCGATTGTAAGATTTAAGAAATCTTGAAGGCTTAACAAAGGAATTCATGAATACGAGATAAAATCCATAGTTCTATTATAAGTCCATTTTCAAGTTCTTCTTATATATGAATTAACAGTTTTTCAGCTGAATATATCTACCAAACTAAAACTGCTACTTATTTAAGTGTAGCGCATAAGTGGTGTTTACACACACGCTCGTTTGTACATACTCGAAATTAAGTAAAATTTATTCAACAAAAGCTCAGTACAGCTTCATTTGAAATCATAAATTTAAAATCTTTTCGTTAGTTATAAACAGAACTTGTACTCAATCAGTTCACATACAGAATTGTATAGATATTCTTGTTAAAATGTCAAGAGTAGTGCTTTATGGTGCCGATATAAGTCCACCAGTAAGGACTTGCCTTTTAACGCTAAAGGCGTTGAATATTCCATTTGAATACAAGTTCGTAGATATTGTTGCGCGAGAACATTTTAGCGAGGAGTTCATTAAAAAGAACCCACAACATACTGTACCACTTTTGGAGGATAATGGTAAATATATATGGGACTCGCACGCTATCTGTAGTTATTTAGTAGACAAGTATGGACAGAATGATAAACTCTATCCAAAGGATTTATATCAACGTGCTATTGTAAATCAACGTTTATATTTTGATGCAAGTATTTTATATATGGCACTACGAAATGTGGTACTTCCTATGTGGCGCGAAAATTCAAATTTTGTGCCCAAAGACAAAATAATGAATATTTTGGAGTGTTATAATTTAACGGAGACTTTCCTCGAAAACCGACAGTATATTGCCGGTGACAGTTTAACCATTGCAGATTTCGGGTGTTTGGCCACAGTTTCTTCATTAAATGGCATCATTGAATTGGATAAAGAAAAATACCCAAAAACTTTGGAATGGATAGAGCGTTTATCGAAGCTACCTTATTATGAGGAGGGTAATGGAAAAGGACTCAGAGAATATGTTGCTATTCTAAAATCGAGATTAACCGAATTTGAAATGTAAAATATTTGAGATAGTCGGTGTTTGTTTTAAAATCAAAATAAACAGTGAAAATATTACAGGAACAGTTGTATTTGATATTTTTTTTCAAGATTTTAAATATTTTTTTTTAAAAGATTTGAAATTTTAGAAAAGTATTTGTTGCATTTAAAAACTATGTTAGTTATATTAAAGTATGTTAAAAATAAATTGCAATATATAAAATTGTTTCAGTATTTTTATTTAAAATTAATTTAAATTCTTTTAAGTATCAGAGATCTTCGATGGAAATGTTTTAAGAAATAAATCAATGTATATTTACAATTAATCAATATCTATGTCTATAGTCAGAATTACAAACGAAACGGCTTCACTGTGCAAGAGATCGATTCTTCGCCGGCCTGACAGAATTAACTAAAGTAGATATATTGGATTTCCTTAATTTTATCTAGAAAATCAAAAGGTTTAACTAGTGGTTATTTTGGAAACAATGGTTAGTTTAGCTCGCCTCTTGGTTCACATCAATCCACCTAAACTTAAACTAATCTAGTGTCAATCAGCTAATGTTTTCCTAGAACTTATAGGAACTATTTACATATATATCTTCTCTCCTTTATTTAAATAATAATAATTTAGATTTTTGGGGAAGAATACTTGTGCGGATACTTTTATTGCCAATTTGGTAGTCCTCGATAAAAACGATTCTGGCCAACTTTAAGCAAGATGAAGAATACCTTATCTTCGGTTAGAACTCTTATAGTACAAAAAATCAATTAATGATATAGTGCTTTGCTCGTTGGCAATTAGATACACCTTGACGAAATCTATTCTGGTCTATGTTAAGGAAGAGAAAGAATACGTTTTCTTCTGTTTAAAATCTTACAGTATGTGGTATGTTAAAGTTCACATTACTTTGCTTCATTGGGGGCCTATATTCTAACTTTAGTTTAGATTCTTGTTAAATTTGCTTCTTGAAATTATTTTCACAGAGCGTTTTCGAATATAAACAAATAAATGTGTTAATTTCTTTAAATATTGTACCATATATTGATTCTAAATAATATCTGACGTTCAGTTAAATTTATAGCAATGAGAGAACATAAATCTTATTTTGTATTAAATCTCCGAATATCTTACCATTGACTTATTTAACACTGACAAGTGTAGAAATCATTAAGTGAAGTCTATATTTCTACATAGAAATAAAGTTTACAGATTTTAAACTATATGGTATAGCATAAAATCAAGAGAAACAAGAGATATAGCAGAGCATAAATATAGCATAAAATCAAGAGAAACAAGAGAGTTTTCATACTTGGGCAAGTAAACTTCAACATAATGGACAGGCGCTCCTTAGAGATGTTTTTAGGATTTTAGTTTGATTCAATCTTTATTGATACACCAATCTTCTTAACCAAAACCTATGTTGTAGTTTGGTTTATGAGATATATGATAAAAAGGGCCTGTCGATTGTATCGAATTAATGTTTAGATATTTGTTGAAGTTATTATATTTTTAGTTTATAAGTTTTATTTTTAGTTTCATTAAAAATTCTAAACGATTTTGAACTTTATCAAGGGTCATCGCGAATAACATATCACTTGAAAGTCTCTCCATAGCAATATGAACATATACCCCCCATTGTATGACTTGCTATTTTTCTATTTTTTTTTTATTATTTTCAAACATTAAATTAAAGAAATCAGAATAATAGATTAAATAGATTGTCATAGCTTTGCTTATTTAAATTTAATAAAAATATTTTATATATGCTATATGATTTATGTCAATTTGCGACCGAAGAGTACAATTGATAACTTTTAGTTTGCGTGGAAACAATGATTTGCAATTTTCAACTTTAAGTACGATTTAATCAGATTTGTGGTATTTCAATTGTGATGAAATAATTTAATAAAATAAATAAATGAAAAAAATTATTGCTTTAAAGCAGCCGCCAACCTCAAAAAGTCGAAGTAAATGTTATGCATAAAATCTGTACTGTAATCATAGATAAGCAATAGGCGATATAAAAAATATATTTCTGTATTATATATTATGTTTATTCATATATGTGATATAAATACATCATAGGGCAGATATTAAATTAATTTACCACACCCCTGAGATGTAGAGGGCCCTGAAAAAAGAGAGGTTCTGACAGCAGAAATCTTCAAGATGAAACTTATATCTATTATGTTTGTTCATATATGTGAAATAAATATACCATAGGGCAGATATAAAATGAATTTACCATACCCCTGAGATGTAGTGGGCCCTGAAAAAAGGGAGGTTCTGACAGCAGAAATCTTTAAGATGAAACATATATCTATTATGTTTGTTCATATATGTGAAATAAATATACCATAAGGCAGATATAAAATTAATTCACCATACCCCTGAGATGTAAAAGGTCCCTGAAAAAAGAGATAGTTTGAAGCACCGGTATTGACGTACATTTGAAGGCCATATGTCCAATTTGGTTTAAGAAGAATTTAATATTAAGAAGAACTTTATATTCTAAGCTTAACGCGAATTGACTATTTAAAAGAGAATTTAGCTTAGCAACTCAAGTATTGATTTTGATTGTTTTTGCTTTTATATGCTCACACTACGCTAGTCTTCTATCTAAATGCATCCTAACGTAGGTGACATTATCTTTTGCTATAGTATGCTATACTAATGCTATAGTTGACATTGAGGTATATGAACGGTATTTATTGTAATTGCTTCAACAACCGTGTGTTATGTTATTTTAAAACAAAAAGTAGCAAACTTTTTCTCTGTACTCTCCGTACCCGTTCTTATAAATCTTACAATTTTAATAATAATAAGCCACTTTGATAAATTGAATATAAATTGAAAATTTACAAAATGAATATATATAAAATTTGAATAATGTTTGTACTTATAGCGATCTAAAGGTTCAAAGTATATTCCTTTTAAAGTGCTACATCTATCTGTTTAAACCCATTAACGTCGAGCAATAGAATATTATATCTCTAATCTTACTCAGACTAAGACTATGATTATTAATAACTTTTGGGAAATCGTTTGGTTTCATACCAAAATGTACGTGAGCCGATATTACTAGACTAATATAATGGAAGTATAATTTCAAAATGGTAGATGCTTTTGTACTCTCTAATGCCACAAAATGCCTCTGGGACAATGTTAACAGGACAATGTGCAGTTGGGAATCCAATAATCAATCTATATATAAAAGTATTTAAATTGTAAATTATTTTCATTGTTCATTTGAATGAGTTGTTTGGGGTGCGTTAAACGTATTCTGTTTGATAATTTCCTCACAATTGTTTGATTAACTTCAGTCTCGTGCCCGACAACTATCAGTTTATTTGTATTGTTCAATTCAGATAAGAGATTGTATAATTACCTGACTGTTCTAATACATATATAGTAATACTGACCCTTCAATAACTTGTATTAAAAACTTCAATTTGCTTAGTTAGGTTTAACATGAGTACGTGGACAGAAGTATCGGCTAGTCCGTTTTTAAGTTTAGGTGCATCCATAGACCCATTCCTTTAATGGTTGCACAAAGCATCTGTTTTTTTATTCACTTTTTTTAGGGTACATTGTATTTTTCTAGAAAAGACAAATAAATATATTTTATGTGCTTTTGTCTAAGTACTTGTCTAAGTACTTTTAAGAAAAGTAAAGTAAAAAATTGTAGTAATTAAGTTTTAGGGAAATAATTGTATGAATATCATACCATAGATATATATGGGTGAAATTAAATTTGTTAACTCATTTTTAATTGCAATTTAAATGTTTTTGATGTCATCAATGTACGGAAGGGACTATAATTTAAATATGTTTGTAATTTATGGCCCTATTTTTGTCTTCAATACGTTCATAAACTTAAAAAATTGCTGGTCATCATTATTACTCATTAGTGTTTAGGTAAGTTTATCAAGTTGCTTTGCTAGTATAAAACACTTGAAAAGTATTGATTATTTTAGCCACGCGATCTAAAAGCTAAACTTTTTTCAACATTTATTCTAATATTTCATAATTCGAAGTCAAAAGCTGTTTTTTGTTTTTTTGTTCTATAAATTTACACTTTTACATATATTGCGGTTATCTATAAATATTGACTTGAATTTAATCGCGTATGTAACATGATAACTTGGCTACCACTCTGCTCTCACCAGGTTTGATAAAAATAATTGATAATATTTTACTCAGCATGTGGTATGCTTTCCATTTCATTAATTATATTTATTTTTATTTAATTTTGATGTATTAAATAATAGTTATACCCTAAACTCATTGCTTTCAAATCACAATATTATGAAGAGAAATAATTATATTTATTATACTTTGTATATATATTATACAATGAATTCGCTTGAATTGTCACCCAATATTTATTATAAATGTTTTTTTAGAGTTCTATAAATTTACAAAACCCCAAAATCGGATTCATGGTTTGGGCAACGAATTCAAAATCATCAAATATTAACGACTATATTTATAAAAATTATTAATTAAATTTTTTTTGAATATGAATTATATGAGAACCACCCTGATAGCATGATGCATGTGTGCTAGAACTACAGAACACAGGGTTTTGATTGAAATCCGCTTAATCCGTTCCAAAAGTAAAGTCCTGAGGATATAGCAAGCACTATAAGTTTATCATTAACCAATTATATTTCATATTGTATTTATTATTTTTAATGGCAGAATATGATTTATCAATGCTTGTTGTGTGACTGGTACTCCCTACATTTCAGAGGGAGTGTTAAGTCTTCAAGCTTTTCCTTTTGGTATATGACTGCACTCAGGGCCTCCTACGGTGACTGTGTTTGATTGAATAGGAATAAAATTGGTACTCTTTTTGTTAACATAGCCAAATATTTATGTACAATATAGCTAATTTTTTATCATCTCTATAGTGTGACATATAATCTCTAAGACCTGTATTTCGGTCATTTTTATTAGTTTAATAGACTTTTATAATCTCTCGAAATAATACCTTTCTTTAGATAAGCATATTTTTCAGTGGCATATATAAGCTTAAATTCGTTATGAATGTTCAGTAATATAAATCTAAGAAATTCTGTGAAGTAAAATAGATTAAAATAGAACACAAAGAACTCAGGAGCCAAGATATAAACAGAAAAAACTTTTATAAATATTTATGTAATAAAAAATAACAAATGTAATTTTATACTTTAATAGCAGAAACCACATTTATTTTCCATAATAAATCATAGAAAATCTGTTTTAGTGCAAAACGTTTTTGATTTCAAAATGTATACTATATACTTTACTCTAAAAATAAAGGAACATCTATTGACTTCTAAAAACAATATTCTACAATAATTGAATAAAAATGTTGACTAATACATTCGGTTCAGAGGTATAATAGTATCTACTAGTTACTTTAACTAAGCACAATGCCTAACATAGGAAAATCCAAGTACATACTATGAATATTCGGTTCTGGTTATACTTGAACCTATACAATATTATGAATCCAATATTATATCGGTACAATACCACAGAATAAAATTTATTTATACTCTTACATAAATTACAAGACAATTTTTTTATAAAAAAAATAGTATATGTTAGTTCCTTAGAGTTTAATTGCTTCAGATCTTTCACTCTTTTCTGTGGGTGGGCACTTGTATATATAATATATGTCTTACTCGAGATGTGTAGATTTTAATATATTTTAACTGCCTCTATGAAAGAAGATGGCAAGAAACCAAGAAAAAACAGAAACATTTTCGAAGGTCCCAGGAAGGTCTCCCTGATAAAGAGGTATGGTGTTTTAGTTGGTAAGAGTCTGGCACACCGGTATCATGACGATGGTATGATAGGTTTCACATGCCTTACCGTAACAAACAAAAAAATAGGTGAAAGAGGGTAACTTATTAACTAATAGTCAAAATGACAAAAAATGTTTAGCATATTTCTTATGAAAGTTAGTATATAAGCTAATATAAATTTGAGAGTATTTTTGACAGGAAGCTTACTATATTTATATTCTTTGTCTACCAAGTGAAATGTTTGTCTAGTGTCACATCCAAATAGTTATAAATGACGTTCTATTTTAAGTTGATATTTAATAGTATTAGATTTAGGTAGAGTTGTCGTTTAATAAAGAATTTTATGTTATATGACAAGATATCAATTTCGAATAGAAAATGGTAGAGTTTTCGTGTAATAAAAATCTACAAAATATAGGACCCAAAGTTGTACAACCCAGCTGCTTTTTATAGATATTAATTAATCTAATAACAATTATACATAAGTGTTTTAAATTGAAAATTTCTCTCGATATCTGACAATTCACAAAATCAATTGTCACTGTTTACACATCTTTAATCTGTATATAATTATCGAGTTATTCACATGACAGTTGAGATTATATATATTGATAAATTTTATAGCCCGGCAATAAATTTGTTATAAGTAAACATAAAAAGGTGTCAGAATGAGTAATACCATAAGAAATCGTTTAATATTTTGTAGAAATACTAATTAAAGACTAATAGTCAAATAAATGTAGCTTCTCGCATATATTTGGTAGATAAAAATCGTAAAGCTCTACTGTGTTGAGAAAATCAGACACTGCGAAAACTGTTAGTGGGGAACGACCAGTAACTACGTGCGTAAGTAATTACATATATTTTGGTCTATCGTACTCCACATCTCGTGCCATGACAGCGAATATTTGTACACGAAAAATTCTATAATTAAACAATTTTCACAAGAGAATAATAATTAAAGCTCCAATAAAAATGGTTTCACAAAAAGCTTACGACTGAGTATAAAATAAACAATTACCATATAATTTATTTTAGAAATAAGTTAGTTCGCTGCAAGTGAAAATTAAATTTTATTACAAGTAAAATGAGCTCGAAATTAATACTTTATGGTGTCTATATGAGTCCACCGGTGCGTGCCGTACTCCTCACACTAAAGGCTCTAGAACTAGACTATGAATTCAAGGAAATCAACGTAGCTGCTGGTGAGCACTTGCAACCAGAATATTTGCAGAAAAATCCACAACACACTATGCCACTTCTTGAAGATGATGGAAAATATATATGGGACTCGC